CGCTGCTCGCGGGCCCGGGGCTGGCGTGCGGGCCCGGCCGGGGCTTCGGCAAGCGGCGGCACCCCAAAAAGCTGACCCCTTTAGCCTACAAGCAGTTCATCCCCAACGTGGCCGAGAAGACGCTGGGGGCCAGCGGCAGATACGAAGGGAAGATCTCGAGAAACTCGGAGCGCTTTAAGGAACTCACCCCCAATTACAACCCCGACATCATATTCAAGGATGAAGAGAACACCGGGGCCGACCGGCTGATGACTCAGGTGAAAGCCGGCCCGGCGCTGGCGCGCGGGCGTCCAGACGAGGCCCTGGCCTTCGCCGCCCGCCCGCCCCTCCCACTTCCTGGAGGGGGCGCGGAGGGGAAGGGTCCGCGGAGAAGTTTGGGGTGGGGGTGCGGAGGGCGGGAGCCGGCCGTGGCCCTGGCTGTCTTGGGCTGCCTCCCCCTCCTGCCCGGCTCTGGCTGTAACTTGGGGAGACCTTCACTTCGGGGGTGTCCGCCCTTTCCAAGTTGAGAGTTGGCATGCCGGGAGGGGCGGCAACCCCCAGAAACGCAAAGTGGCCTCCAGCGCGGCCAGTGTGGCCTGCGCCCTGGACCGCTGGCTTCCCCTGGGCTTCTTGCCGGGCTCCCTGACCCCAGAGCCCACGGGTGGGGGGGGGGAGCCCCAGGTGGTTCTGACCAAAGGCAGGGCTGGTCTGGGCGGCCGCGGGCCGGCCTGTCCCCTGGCCGCCTGGCCGTTCCAGGCAGCTGTGCCCAGGGCTGCCAGCACTGGCTTCTTTAAGGATGCTCTCGGCCGCGGAGGACTCAGGGCTCCAGCCGCACCACCGCTCCTACCTGCCCCAGCACAACCGGAGCGCCCGGCGTTGTGGGAGGGGGCTGGCGGGAGGGGCCGGCGCCCCGTCCCTCCGCGGCCTGCGGCCGGCCGCAGCGCTGCCCTCTCCCCGCCAGGCCCCGACTTCCCGCAACTCCGGCACGTCTAACTGAAGCTGGAAATGGATTTCCCCGCCAATATAGGTCAACATCCTTCTCGCTGCCCTATTAAAGCAGCCAAGTCCTACCTTGGGGCCAGGAGCGCGCGGCTGCCGGGCTGGCGGCGCAAGTGCAGGGGCGGAGGGGCGGGAGGCCCGGGGGAGCCGCC